CGTACTTTGAACATAATAGACTACTCACAAAAAATGAATGTACAAACATTGATCCTCACCCTGGATGCAGAAAAAGCATTCAATAGGGTGTCATGGTCCTTTATAATAGAAGTTTGTATGAAATTTGGTTTCCATGACACCTTTATCAAATGGCTTCAAGCCATGTACAAAACAACAAGAGCACAGGTCAAAGCAAACGGGACCCTGTCAGACTATTTTGAGTTAAAACGAGAACTATCTCCATTAATTTTCGCAATTTGTATTGAACCTCTGGCAGCATATATAAGAGCGACAGACAAAATCGAAGGGGTGAAAATATCAGAGGAATGCCACAAACTGGCCTTATATGCGGATGATGTGGCCCTGTATATCACAAATCTAGGAAAATCACTACCAGCACTCATGCAAATCATTAATAATTATAGCTCAGCATAAGGATACAAGCTAAATATGCAGAAGCGTGAAGCAATGGTAATAGGTGTGCCAGTCAGCAGAGAAATTAAAAATAGCTACCTTTGGAAATGGGACTTGGACAGTCGGAATCACAGTTCCCAAGTACTTGGGAACTGTGATTCCAAAGAATATTAACTTATTATATCACATGAACTTCAATCGCCTAGAGGCACAAATTAGGCAGGATCTGAATAGGTGGAGAACAGTTTTCTTATCAGTGAATAGCAGAATAGAGACCATTAGAATGAATGTACTCCCTCGCTTCCTATTTCTGTTTCAGACAGTACCACTGTCCATTGGTGCAAATTTTATTAAAAACTGGGAAAAAATGATAAGTAAATTTGTGTGGGATGAGAAAAAAACCAAGAGTTAAAATGCAGACGTTGAAAATGTCTAAAGAAAAAGGGGGACTCGCTGTCCCTAACCTGAAGCACTATTACTATGCAGCTCAAATACAATCAATAAGCACCTGGCTAAATGATAACTCTGAAGCAAGGTGGAGATCTATAGAAAAACATGTGCTATGTTTCAATAAAAACAATACCTTTCTGTACAAAGACTATAAGTAGGACACAAGTAATCAGCAACACATTAATAAGAAACACTTTAAAGATTTGGCACATAATAAAAAAAAAATGCAAAATGAAAGAGGACTTAACTGTACTGAGAGAAATAAAAGAAGATCCTGAATTTACTCCTAATAAACAGGATACAGTCTTTAATACATGGGCACAAAAGGGACTGACCATATTTGGACAATTTTTAAATGAAAACGGAATTATACCATTTGAATCTCTAAGGACACATTATGATTTACCCCACTCCCACTTCTTCCGATATTTACAACTTAGAAGTTACATTCAGAACTGTGAAATAGGGAGGAAGACAAGCAATGATCTCCATCCATTTGTGCAATTTTTGGTGAAGAACTTTAGTAATGTTAGAGTACCACATCAAATTTCAACTGTGTATAACATTTTAGAAAATAGTCAAATTTTAAGATACATGGGCAAAGCTAAGATGGGAGGAAGAACTTAACACACACATATCTGAGGATACCTGGAAGGAAATGAATCGGAATGTACACTCAACCACTATATCTCCTTACTGGAGAGAATATGCATGGAAAATACAATCATGTTATTTTATAACACCAGTGCAACAAGCTAGGTATAATAATAAAATATTGCCAAACTGCTGGAGGGAATGTGGCGAATCTTATGCACACTTTGATCACATTTTTTGGTCCTGTCCATTATTAAAAGTGTTCTGGAACAATATTCAGAGGGAAATCAAAACCATTTTCAATGACGCCATTCACTTGAATACAGACTTCATATTGTTAGGTAAAACAGTGAGCAAAATATGTAATGAAAATGATCAATATTTGTTAAGAATTCTGCGTATAGCAGCACTGAAACCAATAACAAGAAACTGGCTTCAAAAAACATGCCCCTTGATATATAAATTGAGTGAAACAACTCAACAAATATATCAGATGGAAAGTTTAACTTATAAAATGAGGGGGAACTCAAAACTATCTGAAAAGAGATGGTCTAAATGGTCAACATATTATGGTAGGAAGGAAATGAACTGAAACTTTGGGATCATGACAATGGGAATGACTGTGACTAAAGGGAGCACTACCTAGGTTTTTTTTTTGTTTTCTCTATCTTTTCTTTCTCCTTTGACTCTTCTCTTTCTTTTAATTGAATTCATTTATTATTTATTTTATTATTATTTCATATAACTAACCTGTTTGTTTGCCCTTCCTTAAGATGTTAAATATCGTAGAGAAAGGAAAGAAAACCTTGATGGAGGGATGAATTTATGTCATACAAATCCAAACCACCTGAGTTTTACTTCCAGCTACTTTAAACAACTGTAATACATGTTTCTGTATTGTAATTTTTTTTTTTTTTTAGAATTTTCACATCACTGGGGGACACAACCTTTTTGACATCACACCATTTATAAAAATGTAAAATATTGTCATCTTTATGTTGAATATAAAATATGTGTACTGTATGTTAAGACATGATGACAATAAAAAGTAATTAAAAAAAGAAAAAGAAAAGGAAGAGTAGAAAACGCCCACAATAGGAGTACAGAGGATGCAGTCTCCACTGCGCTGCACTCTGTGCTCACTCATCTGGACAATAACAACACATACGCACGAATGCTGTTTGTTGATTTTAGCTCAGCATTCAACTCTGTCATCCCCTCCAAGTTGAACACTAAACTCGGAGATCTGGGCTTCAACACCTCCCTCCGTCACTGGATAATGGACTTTCTGACCAACAGACCCCAGTATGTTAGGTCAGGACACACCTGCTCCACCACCATCACACTCAACACAGGCGTACCACAGGGCTGTGTGCTGAGCCCATTCCTCTACTCCCTCTTCACCCACGACTGCAGACCTGTACATGGATCCAACACCATCATCAAGTTTGCGGACGATACAGCGGTGATTGGCCTCATCAGCAACAACGATGACACGGCCTACAGGGAGGAGGTACAGCATCTGGCCGCCTGGTGTGCTGACAACAACCTGCTCCTCAACACCAGCAAGACGAAGGAGATCATCGTGGACTTCAGGAGAGAAAGAGGAAGCACGCACAACCCCATTCACATCAACGGGATGGCTGTTGAACGTGTCTCCAGCTTCAAGTTCCTGGGGACCCACATCACAGAGGACCTCTCCTGGTCCACTAACACCTCCAGTCTGGTTAAGAAGGCTCATCAACGCCTCTTTTTCCTGAGGACACTGAAGAGACACCACCTGTCTTCAGCTGTACTGATGAACTTCTACCGCTGTGTGATCGAGAGCATCCTGACCAGCAGTGTCTCAGTCTGGTACGGAAACTGCTCTGTCGCAGACCGTAAGGCGCTACAGCGGGTGGTAAAAACCGCCCAGCGCATCACAAGGTGTCCACTTCCTGCCATTGAGGATGTCCAAAGAACACGCTGTCTGCGGCGAGCTCATGGCATCCTTAAAAGACTCCTCCCACCCTGCCCACAGACTGTTTACCCTCCTGCCCTCCGGCAGGCGCTTCAGAAGCCTCCGGACCAGAACCAGCAGACTGAGGAACGGCTTTTTCCCCAGAGCTGTTTCTCTACTGAACTCTACCCCCTGAACTCTGAACTCTGTCTCCCTCTCTCTCTCCGCCCCCTGCTGACCCCCCCCTTTCCCCTACATATCACCTCACACCCATCATCCCCCCACCACTCCTCCTGGTCACACACACACATCTCTCATCCATCTGTATTATTGTATTATAGTATGTTCATATTATGTCCATATTCCTTATATTATCTGTAAACTAGTATAACATGCTCACTGCATCTTAATCTGTATATTATTAGTATAGCATGCTCACTGCATCTTAATCTGTATATTATTAGTATAACATGCTCACTGCATCTTAATCTGTATATTATTAGTATAGCATGCTCACTGCATCTTAATCTGTATATTATAATCCTAACAACACACTTATTTTGTAGCATTACTTATTTATAGCATTTATTTTTATTTATTGCATCCCATTAATCCAGCCATCCAGATTTACCTAATAATTCACTTTTTTTGTCTACATCTGTAAATTTTGCAATTACTGTACATAGCACAGAATTACTGTACATAGCACAGACTCTTGCACTCAATTACTGTACATAGCACAGACTCTTGCACTTTCTGCTTATTTGCACTTCTGGTGAGATGCCAAACCTCATTTCGTTACTCTATACTTGTATATGTGTAATGACAATAAAGTTGAATCTCATCTCATCATCTCATATTTCAGCCTAATGGCCTTCTCAGGAGTGCTAGAATAGGATGCCTGAATTTTTTGTAAACTTTTTTCTGTCCACTGTTTAGTTTTTTTTAAATCCCCTAAATATATGTATTAATCCCTGATTAATAAAGAGTTTACTCTCTGTTACTTATAGGGACATGCTTCTCACACACATAGGCCCGAATCACAAGCATGCACAAACAGGACCTGTGGACATGCAATGGTGGAGAGATGTCAGAGTGGGGCTGCTACAAGCTGCTAAGCAGAGAGCGCACCAGAGCAGTTGGGGGTTTGGTGCCTTCCTCAAGGGAACCTCGACAGTGCTCAGGAACCTCTCCAGCTACCAGACCAACTTACAGATTTGGTCCGCAACGGGAATTGAGCCTTCGACCTTCCGGTTCCCAACCCAAGTCCCTCTGGACTAAGCTACTGCCACCCCTTATTTCCCCTTCTTTCACTTATTTACGCTGTACAGTTTCTTTTGAACCAACAGGTGACATGACTTGGCATGTCACGTGTTGGGATGCCGACACAACAAGGAAGCACTTACCTATTTCTATCCCACACAAGAGTACCTGTAACCGCTTCAGAGACCACTCCACTACTACCCGGAGGTAAGCTGTTGGCTTTTTCCCTGCAATTTGTTCGCACTGCACAGCACCTTTTACCACCACAAGTAATACCGGACACACAGTGAGCACGCCAGCTTCCATTCATTGATTTATTACATTATGGTGTTCTATTTACCTGGTGAGTCCTCCATCCTCCAGGTTCCTGAAGTCGCGGCTCGTCCATGTGGAGAACTTCTCCAGTATGTAGGAAGCCAGACCCACTGGAGAATCATTGAGTCCTCGACCTTGAGGGAATGTGAAAGTCAGAAATGATTCTCTTTTTTTCAGTTTTCTCATCCCTGCTTGAAAAAGAGCATTCACAGAGACAGCTGTATTTCCCTGCTTTCATAAGGACAGGACTAAAGTGTGGGTAGACGTTCAGTGTATCGCTCATGGGCAGTGAGGGTCATCTCGGTTTCCTCTTCGATTTAAACGTTATTCTCTGATCTATAACCACATACACCTCTTTACTATCTATCTCCTCACTCTGTTTCCTTTATCTCATGTTTAAATCGAAGCTCATATCTACCTGCATTAAATACTCATTAAAGGCCTCTGCTGCCGTGATGCTGTTTAAGACCATGTGTTCTCTTCCCAGGGTAAGTAAGTGCTAACATCACAAGGTCCCACTGTGCTGATTCTTCTGTTTAGTAGTGTTGACACTATGTTGAGACGGCCCCAGGTCCTTACCCACAGTGTCAGGCTTGGTGGCCTGGATGTGCATGTAGCCAGACTCTTTGATGGACTCCACCACCAGTTTCTCCACGCAGGGGAAGAGCCGCTGAACATCCAGGTCGGTGAAACCAAACAGCTTAGGGAAGCGACGGCCGAGCATTACGGATAAAGCCACGGGCAACCCTGGTTTGGAGGGCGGGGCAAAGTTCACATGCAAGCCTTTGACTGTGCTAAGGGATGAAAAAAACAAAACAAAACAAGAAATGACCAAGCAGCGACCTCCAGTGTTGAAATGAAGCTGATGCATGAGTGCCTGCCTCGCTAACAGGCAAACAGCTACCTAAAAGGTGTTGCAGCCATGGAAGCGGGCACGAGCAGAAACGTGCTCAAACTAGGATCAATGTTGGAGATGTTTTAGAAAAATGGAGAGAGGTTAGAACACAGAAAGGTTTACAGACCCATGCAGAGCTGGATAAACACTGAAGCTACAGTGTCCACCACATGGTGACCTGTAGCTGCAACCTAGAGCATCGACTCTAGAGAGGAGGGGGGAGACAGCTTTCTAGAAAGTATTTTGACTGCAGTACCTATTTTAAACACTAGGTTTCAGAGTTACATATCGGCCCTTTAAACTAAAAGGTTGCTGAACACTTTCTTTATTAGCTTATGTACCTGTTTCCTGTAACCACATGTGCAGCCGTACATAGCCTAGGTTCTGTGTATAAACACCCTCAGGCTTTTTGAAACAAGGACAGTGCTCACTCTCATCTGCTGTGAAGTGAACCTTTTATTGAAAATCTCCACATACAACCCCACTTCAAAATACCTGAGCTATCCCTTTGACCCTATTTCTTTACCATGATTTTTTCTTAAAACGAACAAAGTCCTGGTGAAACAGTCTTTGTTAGGCACAAACACTACCTGACCGGTTCAGGAAAACGTTGTGTTAGTGAAACATGGTGGGCTTTCACAATAAGTTAACATGAAATTCCTCAGGGGATTGTACTCCTGACAAAAGCCATTTATGTAAGAGAGTACAAGCCAGTAACAGTCTGAAATCTATTGAGAAAGAAATGAAACAAGAAGGTCACATGTGTCTTACTTGGGCTCCAGCTGAGCCATGTTGGTGGTGACCAGCCAGCCCCAGTCTCCTCCATGAGCGTAGAACTGTTGGAAGCCCAAACGCTTCATTAACTTGTGGAAGATGCGTGCTGCACAAACTGAATCAAAACCTGTTTACACAAACACACAAGCAAATGTATTCATAAATGATACACACAGAAAAACCTGAGAAGTTAGATATTCAACGTGTGTACATTTTGCAGGAAGTCAACGTTTGTAAATTATGTTTATGGACACTGAGGGGGCCAATTCTTAAAACAACACCCATACGAGTAAGAACAGATCTGCTGTTTTTGGTATGTTAAAGGAGCTAGATGTAACTCTGGCCCCTAGTGTTTAAAATGGGTACTACAGTCAGACTCTAAACATCAGAGAGAGCGGTTTCCCCCCGCCCCCTCCTCCCTATAGTTGATGCTCATGCAGGTCACCATGTGGTGGACACTGTAGCTTCAGTGTTTATCCAGCTCTGCATGGGTCTGTAAACCTTTCTGTGTTCTAACCTCTCTCCACTTTTCAAAAGCATCTCCAACATTGATCCTAGTTTGAGCACGTTTCTGCTCGTGGAGCTTATTAGAAACATGCAGAGGCTTTTTAGGTCGGGTACAATCACTTCTATCTGAACCACTTCTCTTGACCGCTTCCATCACTGCAACACCTGTTGACCTGATAACTTCTCTCATATCTGACAAACCGAGGGGCGTCCAAAACGGCTGTGTGGGGGTGCCTTAAAACCACCTACCTTCTCTGGTCCAAACAAATCCAGAGCATTCAGGACCAGAATCTAAAGTTAGAAGGAGGACATACTGGCTGCTGCATTGTTGTCAGAGAAGCTTCAACATAGCATGTTTCATTAATGTCTGATCAGATAGTAAGATACCTTTATCATTTCACTCACTACACATCTTACTGATTGCGCCCATAAACATTACAGTATTAGACAAGGCTGAGACATTATGGGGATATTGGGATTTTTCCACAACTTGCTGGCAGAAGCATTTTCATGACTGCAAGTGAAACAATTTGAAGACTCACCTTTCTTATGTGATGCCTCTGAAAACCCATAGCCTGGTATGGAGGGACACACCACCTCAAACACAAGGTCATGGGGGTCTGTTGGTTCTGTCAACAGAGGGATCATTCCATAGAACTCATAGAAGGAGCCGGGCCAGCCGTGAACCATTATCAGAGGAAGAGCAGTCGTTCCCTCTGGCACCTTCTTTGGCTTCACATGCAGGTAATGGATATCAATGCCTGGGTAGGAGTTCAGGGATTTAGGACACATTTCAGTCAACAGGATTTATTTTTAAATAATATGTCAGCTGCTTGGCCTCACCTTCGATGTTGGTTTTGAAGTGGGGATACTGGTTAAGTTTATCAACCTGTCTTTTCCAGTCAAATTCATTTCTCCAGTAAGAGACCACCCTCTGCAGGTACTGGGAGTTGAAACCGTAGTTAAACTGGCTGTCCTCCAGTGATGGAACAGGCCGAGTCTGGTCTATCCTCCTGTAGAGGTCCTGATAGAAAACAGATATTTTCAGGAGTGCATATGTGAAAACAGCTTCAGAGAATGTAGTTGACCTGTGATCATGGAAGACTGTGCAATGATAAAGCATGTGAAAGTTCAAAGAGGCATTATGATTCAGATACGAGCTATTCTGCATCAGAGCAAAGGAAGAAGATAATCAGAAGTTTAGATAAAAGAAAACCGTTCACAGACTGTAAGATCTTTTCTTTGTTGGATATTCAACAGACATTCACTCTTATCTTTTAATAATCCACAAATCATTTAACCCTTTGCTTCACCAGAGGTGAGAGCAGCATTTAAAGGAAGACGGTGCACATTTTTGATCCAGCGGAAGTCCCCCTTGAGCACCATCATGAAACAAAAACAAACTGCTGTTTGACGACACCTCCTCCAGACTAAAGCCTTCGCTCTCCTCCAGCGACACACATCCAACCCCCTCCACTCGAGTTCAGGCAAAGGAGTCAGCAGCGGAGTTAAGTGCAATCAGTGGACAAAAATTGTCCTTTGCTCGAGCTACAATTGTCTGTTCCAGCATTTTTGTATTAGCATGCTAATGTTAGCGTTCTTTAGTTAGCTCGTAGCTTCACATTACATGTACATTTTCTAAGAATGAGCGTGATCTTAAAGCGCTTACGTGTCATCCAAATAATCAGTGAGTATGTTCTTCTTCTTCTCTCTAGTTCTTGACTAAAACAGCTTTTATACACAAGGGGAGGAGCCGGCCGTCCCGTCCATGTAAACACAGTTCTGACAACAACACAGCCAGCGGGACTCGAGCTTCTCACTCTTTGTAGACAGTCATGACTTAGAGAGACATTTACACAGGATAGACTGGATTTCTGCTTTATCTATGCGTTAAATGTTGCACATTATGCCTTAAAGTTGTGTATATTTTCAACTAGGATGGTTTGCGTGAACAGTTAAATCATCTTTTTAATGCACGATTTGTGACTCCATTTACACAGACATTGGAATTGAAGAGTTAGTATTTTAATGCATGTCTGTTGTTTTGTATGAAACAAGGTGGGCTTCTACTGGGGTCAGTTAAAAAAATGAAGTTTTTGTATTATTTACTGTTTACCTTTCTGCTTGTATTAACAGATGCAATAGTGGCCTTATTTGGTCATAAACATCAGGGTTTGATACAATGAGTGCAGGGAATAAGGAGTTAATAAGACAAAACTGTAGCTTTCTTAGCAAACTAATACGTAAACGAACCTCGATCTCTTCATCACTGGTGGTGATTTTGAAGGGCTTAATGGTGACGTCCTCCCCACCCTCAGGGGGTGCTCCAGCCCCCCACCAGCCATCCTCTGTTTTCAGAACCTGCTTTCTGCTCCTCTGAACCAGGAAGAAGATCACTCCTCCAATCACCACAGCAACCAGCACCTCCGTGAACATGGTGCTCAGAGTCTACGCCACAACAGAAAAGGATGGAGGAGAATGGATGTGCAGAACAGATGCAAAGAGGAGAAGATGTCATTATAATTCAATACTTTAACAGTTATTTCACATAATCAGCCTCATCGAGGGTGAGGCTACGCAAAGGGCAGTAACCCCTCCCTCAGGTGGGTGACACTCCCACAGCTAGGTGTTTGTTCTGCCCTCTGAGTCTGCCTTCTCACCGTAAACAATAGGACATGGAGCGAGAAAGCACGAGACACCCAAGCCCTTCCAGAGAGGGGGCGTGGTCAGACACAGCTCATTTACATATTTAAAGGTTCAGACACAGAAACGGCCTGTTCTGAGCAGGGCTGAAATAGAGAGGTTTCAAATACAGGATCAGAGTGGATTTAGAACAAGAAACTTCACACACATGTTTTGAGGAGCTCTGAGAATTATTTAAAGTTGTTGAAAAGGGGGAGAATATGTCACCTTTAATAATGTGATTTGCATAGAAAACAACAAAGGCATTTGAAAGAAACAGACTGACGCTAAATCCAGTCGCCGACTTTCTCTGCCAGTGATGTAACTTTAGTCTGGGCTCAACGACTCCATCAGTCATGAGTCTGGTGAAAAATGTGGGTCCAGTCAAACAAAAGTGTCTCTGTTGTTGTTGTTGTTGTTGTTGTTGTGTTAGTGGCAGGCTGACAGGATTAGCTAAAGACGTGGCCCCTCAGTTACAAAGACTTCAGACCTGCATGACAAAGCCTTTCAGAGCTGCACTAGTATAATGCTGCATTCATGCACGGTTGCATTTCATCAGCAGCTTTGAACTTCATCTATGAAACTGTCCAAAGTTCAAACAGCAAACAATAAGAGGCCAGCAGGTAAAAGGACAACTAGCGCATTCATGCAATCATAAAATAGACATCTATTATTAAAGATGTTAAGTTTACAGGGACAAACTCAGGGTACCCCTGTCTACCCCCTCTGACGCTCACAAATAACATTTACTGTAACAAATATTTTCCAATTCCACATTCTGTCTAAATATTTCACTTTATGTCATCAACCTCTAACACCAACCACAGCTAAACAGCTGATGAGCTACATTAACCACTGAAGTGGAAATAATTCAAATGCCCTTTAAGCACTTTATCAAAAAGTTTTAAGTGTCTGTATTTACTTTGCTCTGTCTTCTGGGCAATTTCCAAACACAACTTCTCAAGAACAGTAAACAGCGAGGCTGCAGGACGCGTGAAATAATTAAAGTGCAAGTCGCAGATACGAGGCTCAAATCATTTAAAAGTCGAGTAAAATTCACCACAGCTCACAAAGTTTGAGTAGTTTACCTTAAATCTCTTCTGGGACAGGTCGTTCAACTCCTCTCCCGTTTCCTTGATTCCTTGATTCCTTGATTCCTTGAATCCTCGCTCCTCGCTCCTCGCATCTACCTCACTGTCCTTAAACTCACTTGTTAAAATAAAGTGGATTGCAGGAGCAGCAAAAACACTGTACAGGTTTAATGCGTATTATTCTGTGTGCGTGAAGGAGGCGCATGCGCGATTTTTTCCCTGGGAACTGTGTGGAGGTGCATGACGGGATATGTAGTATTATATAACAAGTTAGTTCCGACCATGCAATCTGATTGGACAAGAGGGTGAGCATGATATAAGGATGAGGGGAACACTGGGACATTTCCCTGAACGAACACACACACACACACACACACACACGCACGCACACACACACACACACACACACACACACACACACACACACACACACACACACACACACACACACACGTGTGGTGGTGACTGAGTCTGCAGAGACTTTGTCCTCTGACTGGATTTTGATGTTTTGGTTTGCTTTTGTTGACTCTGGCTGGTTCTGGGTGGGGAGTTGTTGTGTTTCCTCCAGCCAATGATAGCGCTCAGATGAGTTTAGGAGTGGAAACAGTTCAGCAGTTGGGTGCGATTTCCTACCTGCGAATATGCCAGACATGGGTGTAGCGGCAAAAAGAAAGTATAATCATAGTGAGGCAGCTAAAGCTCGTTCTGAAACAAGGGTGAATCTTGTGTCGTCTTTCACCCTCAGACGTGGAGTTGTTCCCTTTCCTGTTGGACAGGCAGGTGCAAACACCTGCGGTTAGCTTGTGTTAGCGTGCGGTTGCTTGCAGTGTAGGTACAAGCAGTAAACGTATGCACTACGTCCTGCAGTGAGTGTGAGCTTCTGGAGGGGGCGATGAGCCCAGGAGGAGGGGCCCAGTTTGAAAGTTGCGTTTACAAGCTGCAACAAACATTTCTACTGACTCCTTCTTTAAGGTCATCTTGCCAATGTACATGTTGTTGCCATGCATACTGTTGAAAGATCAAAAAGAGTTATGCAATTGTTGAATTTGTTTTTACCATATATGTTCATTTTCTTTTATTATCATTTAATCTTTTTATCATTTCATTCTATATGTCATATAGTCGTTACGACTTTTGTTTTTTTTAAAGCTATAAGTCATTTTGTTATTATTGACTTACGTTCTGCCTTTTGATTTGTTATTTTGATTTGTTACTGCTTTTCATTTCTTGTTTTGTTTAACCGGATTTGATGAGTGATTTTTGGTGTTATTGTTTTCCGGTTTGATTTTTGATTTGTTTATGATTTTTTGATTTACAGTTTAGTATGTTTTATGCGTTTGACGAACAAATTCAAGAATGTGCAAGAGAGGGTGTTGAAAGATCAGAAAGAGTTATGCAATTGTTGAATTTGTTTTTACCATATATGTTCATTTTCTTTTATTATCATTTAATCTTTTTATCATTTCATTCTATATGTCATACACACACACACACACACTTAATTTCTTTTGAAGTATATTTGAGATATTAGTGTTATTCAGTATTGATATTATAGATTTTTATCTGATTATTACTCTTATTATAATATCATTTTAGAACATTGTTATTATTAATCAGTAATGATTACTATTAATATCATTAATAGATATTATATGCAGTCGTTCTTTTGCACTGTAATCTGTTAATAAGGTATTAATTTACTAAATCATAAAAAGAGTTCTTCATGCATACAATAAACATTTAAGATCTTTCACACTTGGTTAATACATATTCATTTAATACACACTCTGTTGACATTACCTGTAAAAACAGCCGTCTCTGGTTGACAAGTTATGGTTTGGAGAAACGGTGTCTTAATTATCCCAAACTTCATATTTTCAGATCATGTCTGTATTTTCTGTCAGGCTATGATCCAAGTTAGAATCCAGACTGTATTCATATCATCTAACATGCCTTTTAGCACAAGTCATTATTACGCAACAAAAGGCTTTCTGGGCTAAGACGTTTCTAATCTCTAAAGAGAAAGTGAAATCTTCTAGGAGGTCAACTAAGAGTTACACTTACAGTATGAGTGCATGTATCTTTGTAATGTGTGTGTTTGTCTAAGCTGTTGGGGCCACATTGGGCAGCTGTGGCTCAGTGGTAGAGTCAGTAGTCTCTCAGCAGGAAGGTTGAAGGTTCAATGCCCAGCTCCTGCAGCCACATGTCCAATGTGTCCTTGGGCAAGACACTCAACCCCAAGTTGCTCCCTCTGCGGCGTATGAATGTGTATGAATGGATTAGTTAATACTGATGATCTCTTTACTCAGCAGTCTCTACCATCAGTGTGTGAATGTGTAGGTGTGACCTGCTGTGTAAAAGAGCTTTGAGTAGTCAGAAGACTAGAAAAGAAATAAACAAGCTCAAGTTCATTTACCATTAATCACAGCTGTGTAGCTTTAGCCCCAGCACCCCAGATGTTAGTAAAAAGCTCAAAACAGGCGCAGCCACCCCGAATCACAGCAGAGCTGATGATGGTTTTGTTTGATAATGATGATGACAATATTTAAGATGGTTTTGATTTTGATTAGAACTCTCAAGAACAAATGTGGATGTTGTGCTTTGCCTCTGGTCACTTCCTGTCAGGACCTGTGTGTCTGATACGACATAAAGCTGTTTGTTTGCTATTGCTGACGTTGTTTCCTCCCCTCATAGATCCTCTCTTGTGTTGTTCTTACTTTCTGATGTCGCTTTGGATAAAAGTGTCTGATAATGATATGTTGAATTGAAACTGATGTTCAGAACAATATCGCTCCCTCTCGTGTGATAGTACTTAATTACACGGTGTAGGACCAAGCAGCAACCTCTGGTCTTGAAAAATGAAGCCAATGCGGAAGTTCAAAATCCTGCAGTTTGATGTGTGTCCACTAGAGGTTGGCTCCAGGACAACCAGAAGTCACATACACACAATAGGCAAAAAAGCTTACAGCATAAATAAACATGTTTACAGCCTGGTGCAAAAACAAATGGGTCTGATTAGTTATTGTCATCATGGGAACACACTGTACAGGGGGCTCCGTTTTGATTTTGATAATAATACGTTTGTAGCTGACCTGATAAGACAGGTAGACGCGATCTAAAGGTTCATCAAGAGGTTTAAAACCCGCCTCAGCTCCAGCTCTCAGCCTGTTGTTAGGTTAACTGAAAGGGAGGCTGAGACAGCATTTCCATCATGGCGGCTGCTGACGATGAACTTCCGGGGCCTCCTGCAGGAACAGATGATTTAGCTCACTGAAACGTAATTTCAGATCAAAATTTATATTCACCATGTTTTGTCTAAACAATCTTGACAGTTTCTTTAAAATGCAACACAGTGAGGAGTACCTTCACATACATTCCTGAATGTTGAGCTTGAAGAAGAGGTGGTTATCTAATATTTAGTCTGTGGTGATTATACAAACATTGCACAAGAGCAGAGTGACTGACTCTGGGACGAGGTGTCGTGGGACTAATCTGGTGAAAGACCGGTGAAGGGACACTGGTGATATCCTGAATCCGGCTGCCCATTGGACTACACAGTTGAGTTATGGGGGCCAAGACAAGAGGGTCCATGTGGTATGGTAAGTAGTATCTCTTCTCCTCTGTCGCCCCCTGGTGGTGGAACAAACTACCAAACTGCATTCAATCTGCAGAGTCCCTCTGCACCTTTAAGAAAAAGCTTTATGAACACTCAATGATGATGATTATATATAGGATGGTTTTGATGCTGAAATGGTAAATGTGAACTTATATAGCACTTTTCTAGTCTTCTGATTACTCAAAGCGCTTAAAAACAGCCGTTGAAGTTGTGCTTTGCCTCTGGTCACTTCCTGTCAGCACCTGTGTGTCCAATCAGACACACCGGCTTGTTGTTTTTACTCTCTGATGTACGTCGCCTTGGATAAAAGCGTCTGATAATGATTTGTGGAATCATCAGTAGGATTTCGGGGCATGACTGGAGCGAGGGATGTCTTCACTGAACGCTTTTCCTTTCATTAGGGCGCAGGTATCGAATACATACAACTGGGGAAAAAAATCATCCTGTGACATATGAAACCCTGACTTCACATGTCGCCCACATGATAAACATCTGTTTCACAATGTAGTTTACTTCATGACATAGAACAGAAACACATGGAAAGTAATTGTCAGGTTAAGATCCAAGAAAAAGAATCACCCTACTACTCAATGAGTACAGGAGAGAAGCTGGCTTTACTGGGGTCAATAAACTTTTATTCAACATGTGTAACATAGTTATTCTGAGGCGATGACATGGCGTTCAGAGGCATGTTGTTGTTGTTTATTGGTGGTGGGGTTATTTTTACTAAATCAAAAGGTCCTGCTTCATGTGGCACGAGTCCATGAGGACATAGAAAATGAAACCATTAGCGGTGCTGACATTGAACCCAACGTAGCTTCACTGTTGTTCTTTAAAAAAAAAAAATATCATGTGACACCTTCTTTTCCGTCTTACATCTCATTTAAAAATGAAAATAAATACAGTCCTTCAGACAAATCAAGGTGCCAACGCTGCTTACTCAGCTGCAAAGGATCTGTTCATCCCTCTCTACCACCACCCTCCCCCCTCCCTCCCTCGTTTCCTCTTCTGTACATTTCCTTACATCACTCAGCGGCCTACACTGAGTTTCTGTTTTATTCATACCATCAGAGATGTGAACAAAATGCCCCTCCAGGACACGTAGAATAATGGGGTTTTATTGACTAACAGGTAGCATAAAAAACAACAAAATCCTGAGAGAATAAAATATATACAGTATGTTTATCACATCTCTGATGGTATAAGATCAGCGGAGGCAGCCAAATCAATCTCCCTACATTCTCTCTTTATCTCTGCTCCTCTCTCTCTCAGACTCTGCATCGCACTCCGGTGGTTCTGTGCTCTCAACAACCATTGTGTCCACTGAACTCAGTCCACATGCTCTAGTTCTCCTAGAGCATTTCAGTCCGTCTCCATGGCACCACTGTGCGTCTCTTTGGACACCATGAGTCTCATCAGTTTTCCGTGCAGCTTCTCGATCTTCTTCACGTCCTGGGCCTGATCCGTCTTGTACTGCAAACACTACGGGGATAGACAGAAAGACCACGAGGGTAATGACAGCGACTATGTCATTTAATTAAACAAACAGTGGAGAAATAAATAATCATATCATAACTATGTATTCAAAAAGTGCCATTTCACTCCCATTTC